ACAAAAATTTTTTTTTTTTTTTTTTTTTTTTTAACTGAGGGATAAGTGGATTTTGGAGTTGGAAGAGTGCTTTTTGAGAGAGGCCATTTTGTCCATTATTTTTCCTGAGACCTGAAGCCTTTAGACTGAGGTGCGATGCTATTTCATCAAATAACTGAGTTCTGAGAATGTCGAAAATGTACACCATACAGACACCATTTTTCTTTAAAATGGTTACTTAAATTACAGAAGAATTAAGAATCAGTTGAATGAGGAATCGCTCATCACAGTACTACTCTTGCCCTGGAAATATATTTTTAAAATTTCAAAAGAATGGGCAGGAAGTACAAACGGAGACTTCAGCTCTCATGCACCAGTAAGTGTGTAATAACAGATGTCCTTTCCACCATCTTACTGGTCTTATCTTTTCAAAGACCAGAACATATCCAGCTTTCAATTTTCCAGGAGTTAGGGCTTCATGGTTTTCAATGCTTGGAGTGCAAAAAAGAAGATGCATAGGATTATGTTTAATATCAATCACAAACTATATGTCTGTGTATACTTGAATCGGAGAGAATAAAAAAACAGGTTACATGAAACTGGGGAACAGAATAGGCATTTTATTAGTATTTTTTTTTTATAAACAGTGTTGGGTGTAATGCTTTAGTAAGTAAGTAATTACTATAATTTAATTACTATTCGCTTAAAAAGTAAAGTAAGCGATTACACTTATTTTTTCTGTAATTTAATTACAGATGCTTCTGAAGTAATTGCATTGAATACTGTATAGAACAATTCTATATAAAACAATAGTGGATTTAACATCAAAATTTAGCAATGTTAAAATGAATGTTTTTAGCTTAACCTTCTCCCTTTAAAGGTGCTGTATGTAGGATTGATACCGAGTGGTTGAACTAGGTATTGCAGTCCAGATTCAAAATATTGGAGAAGGTTTTTTTCACCCGGCCCCTCCTCCTCAGACTTGACGCACACGCAGGTTGCCAGATTGCCGGCACCAACAGGAACAAGCGCACTTGACGATGAATGATATAAAATACGCTGTGTTTCCCGCCAACTGGCAACCCGGGGTGCCGAAATACAATTGGGTAAACTGGCAGTGGGCGGGTTTCACAAACCAAAACAGAGACCGACATACCGGCCCGGAAAGCACATTTTCAAAAGAGAATAACTGACTGTAGCATTGTTTTTCAGATAAACCATTATGTTAACTTAGCATGTTTCTTAACTCTTTCCCCGCCAGCATTTTTGAAAACAGTTGTCAGCCACCGCCAGCGATTTTGATGATTTTCACTAAAATGTGATGGCCTCCAGAATATTTTGCTGTATGAAAATTTGAATATGCAATATCCAAAATATAGATCAGAGCCTCTACTTTCAAACAAAAACATCAGTTTTATTCTAGCTTAAAACATTATTTTTAAATCAACACTTGAATATAGGTAGGTTTCATAAAAATGCATAATTTTTAGCAAAAAGGTGAGAAAATCCCATTTTTATCAAAAACTACACCTGGGTAATATTCAGAACGATTATCAAAGCATAAATCCAGTAAATCGCTTCTATCAACACCTCCAAAGCTTGCACAGACATATACCACTTCCTGGATCAACATTTTACTCCGTAACATTACGCAGTTTTCATTTATATGCTGCCATTGCTGATGATTGCATTATTATTCATATGCGTCTGTTTACAAAAGAGATCGCTCGTTTCTCCGTCCTGTACACGTGTGTTTTTGTTCGGGAGGTTTTGTACTCATTCAGAAGATATGTAATAGCGCCCCCTAGTGTATAACAGTGAAAACACGAAAAGCCGTAAAAACTCGTCTTTGGTGGGGAAGCGTTGTCTTCGAAAAGACGAGATAACTCGCCAATGGCGGGGAAAGAGTTAAATATCTGCATACATTTTATGGTATTTTTATGCTTTAGTAGAGTCAAAAACTTACATACAGCACATTTAAATATCTTAGTTCAATAATAATTTGTGCAATTTTATATTATTTATTTGAAATAATTAAAAGAACAGTTTCATGTCTATCCTTTTGTTGTTCAACTGGTCGAGGTTGATTTGGGATTTAGAAAGTAATTAGTAATAAGCAATGCAATACGTTTTAGAGAGAGTCATTAGTACAGTATTCTAATTGCACTGTTGAAGATGTAATTTCTGGCTAGTAATTAATTACTTAACCCAACTAAATGACACAAATCATGTCAGTGTTGCTATAGAGATCTGGTTGGGCTGTTTAAACAAACAGAGCGATGTTTTCAAAAATGCACTCTTCAGGTAAATCAGCCTGACAAAAAAAGGTACATTTATTGATGTCTCTGTATAATAAGAATATGATATATTATTTTAACTTAGAAAAAAAAAATGTGCACGTTACCTTTTACATAAATAAATATTTATTAATTTATTTATTTTTTAAACAGGCAGTGAGTAATGCCATGTACATAGACAAATGTAATCCTACAATGTGTCTTCTGCGAGTTTCCAGCTACGGTGCTTGTGCTCTGTTAACAAGTCCCTTGGCAATACCTGTGTCTCTCATCTTTTGAAGCAGCTGCTTTGAGACGTTCCTTGTACTGTAGATATTAAAGGACAGGTGTTATAAGGGAAATTACAGACATCTGAAGTTGCTGGGAGTGTCCAGAGTTAATTACGTTATAGTTTAACAAGCTGTTGAAAAGAGCCAAGATGTGCACTCTCATCACAGTTACTTGCCTTGATTTCAACAAAATACCCTGAAGTGGCCAATCTGTAATCCATTTCCCCAGGGTTATAAATGCCTTTGGCATGATTGTAAAGTCTAGTCTAAAGTAAAGTGCTTTTCTAATACGGAGAGTTCATGATTAGAAGTAAGAAGTCACGTTGTGCTTGTTACATAAGAGTGTGTATTAGCAAATCTCACAATATGAAACTTTTATAACATGCATTAACGACTACCATTGTGAAAAAGCAGTGCGCTTAATTGTACTGACTGTACCCTTATGGTGTACTTCAAATCTAAGAAGTTTATTTAAAAAAAAGAAAAAAAAGAAATGTACTTGCTGATAATATTACCTAAATAAAACACTTTATGTACTTAAAGAAAGTACACTTTCATGATTGTTTATTTACATACTTTTAAAAAGTGCACTTTGCAATATCAAATTAAAAGATATTCCTTAAAAAGTTTTAAATCATGTTTTAATAATCTTTTGTCAAGCTGTAATGAAGTACATTTACTTTGACTAACCGACTAAAGCACATGTGAAGTACTTGATTATAATTTCAACTGTAGTGTTATTTATATTTTAATTGTACTAAATTGCAACTCATTACAAATGTTTAATTACAAATATATTTAAATAAATGGCACGCAAGCTTCAATAAAAACGGCATTATTAAGTACATTTTACTATTAAGTATATTTTAGTTTATCACTTCAACCATATTTCAAAGACAATAGAAGGTATTATGATAGCACATAGAAATATGTACTTAAGTCCTACTCAAAAAAAAAAAAAAAGTTTAAACTATAATACATTTTCATTTAATTGTAAATAGCATGCACTTAAGTGCCGAAAACATTTTATTTTTTATTTTTTTTCTGTAATATGTACTCTTCTTCACAAAGTTTTTGCACAATGTTTGGTGTGTATGGTTGCTAAAGTGTTCTGAGCTACTATTAGCACAGTGCTGTGCAGTTACTAGGGTGCCGCTTAGTGATTTTTTTTTGGATGTTCTGAGTAGTTCTAGTACGAGTCAGAAGAGCCCTCTATGATATTATGGTCCCTAGATGTGGAACTTTCCACATTTGTAAAACCATTATTTTTGCAGTTCTGCTTGGTGTCGTTGGTAGTGCAAAACACTTCATCTTTAAATGTAGAGGTCAAGTTTGAGAACTCTCTCTTATTTTTGCTACAGGTTCAGCCCGTACGAGTGGTATGATGCCCATCCGTGTAACCCAGGCTCCGATGTGGTAGAAAACAACTTCACCCTCCTCAACAGCTTCTGGTTTGGCGTGGGCTCCCTCATGCAGCAAGGTACAGTGCTTCTACTGCAAACTCAACGCACTTTCCAAAGACGGCAAACAAGCCAAAGAAACTGACAACAGCGCGTTATGACTGTCTTCCAGCCTTTACCTGTCAAAACCATGTTGAGTTCAGACTTTTCTGACAGGAGGAGGAAGTAGTCATCTTGCTTGTCAGTGAGGCGAAGATGAGGGGTGTCAAACATCTGTCATACACACTGCCAGGTTAGAGGGATAACAGCAGCGTTTGTTTCCTGACACTCAGCTGCCATCAGAGACCTTCATGATTGTGAGTTTGAGGTTGGGATGAAAGTCGACAGAAGACTGTCTCTATCGTAGCAAATGCACAGTGGGGCATCTCTGTGGTTCATCTCATCCCCATTTGGCCAGATGTCCCGCCCTCTATACGTTGTTCTTCTTTATTGCTTGTCTCAATGCAGTGTTTCATTCATGCACCATAGCTGGCATACAGCTTCAGAGTGACACAAGGAGATCACAAAAAAAAATGAATAGGCTTGTTTGAGTTGCCAGTGACTTTGCTTCGAATGTAGATGAGAGTAGGCAGTTACTGTCAGGGGAGGAGACAGAAAAGAGCAGTCAAACTGGGCAAGACCCACTTCTCGTAGACAGTTGACCAGCAGTCTACTCCAGCAAAAGCAGATGTCTGGACTCGGAACACTACAGCTGCCTTGCTGTCGCAACACGTTAGCATGACTTACATCATGTCCGACAGCATTTTCAACCAAACTGAAACCTGCCGGTTATTAGTTCTGTGCAAAATTTGCTAATTTCAAACAGTCCTGATGTTAATATATAATATAGTAACACCTCAGATCATTTTGTGTTGGGCATGAAGAAATACACGAAGTACCGCTTTGACCGAATCAGTGAGTGAGTGAATCGTTGCACCATGTGCTAACCAGACGCGATGCTGTGCCATGACGTGAGAAAAGGTATCTTTTCCATGTTAATCAGAGTTTTTGTCCTAACCAGCTGAGAAGGAGATACATGACAAGCGACAAGCAGATTCTATTTTAGAAACGGTTTCTATTTCTGCGACAATGCGTCTGTAACAATAACATAAAATCCATGACAATGATGAACTCAGGTACTTATGGGCTTTATTCAATGTTGAAAGGGTCTAATGTGAGTTTGAATATCATTTTGCGTGACTGGAATAATAATGAATATTAATGGATAATGCACCTCAGGTCTTGAAAATAAATTAAAGGAAACATAAAAGTTAAAACTGTAATAATCCAACAAATGTGTTCCATGACAAATATTTTATCAGTTACTCAGGATGTATTTTTTACCATTTTAAAATGGTATGAATTAGATTTTAGATATTTTTTAAAGATGCAAATAGATTATTATGTAGTTTTCAAGTTGCATAACATTATTGGAGTACATTTTACAAGAAAATACTGTTTTTCTTTCTACTTCAACATTTCAAGTTTAATTCAGTGTGTAACTTGTTTATATTTAATTGTGAATTAACTATCAATTTCTGAATGAAAATTGTTTCTACACTTCTTCTTCAGTGTATGTGTTCACGAATTGGACTACACTGCTTGCACTTTTGTTGTTGCTTGCAAACACGAAGACAAGGCAATGCAAAGATTTATTTATTTTAATTGTATTTTTTTGTGGAGTTCAGTTTTTCTTTCTCATTATGTTCAGTTAAAGGTGGAGTATAAGTGATTTCTGAGAAACGCCAATTTAATATCACCAAAACAAACATGCCCCTACCCAAAAGAATTACACCCTTTTCTTGATAGCTATGCAACACAGGCAACCACCCCATCATGAGTGGACACGCCCCTTACTGGTGATTGGCTAGAAGTGTGTTTGGTGCTCGGTCCGATCTACTTTCAACAGCATTTCTCAGAAAACGCTTGCTGCACCTTTAAAACTGCAGGTTCACAACTCATTTAAAAATCTTGCATCGTCTTGCAGTGGCTCTATAGATTCAGTAGTGACACCACCGCTAAATAGTGATGAGGAAAAACTTAGCTGAAGTATTTCAGGACGCTGTTCGATATGCATTGAAAATGCAAACTTTCAACAATCATTAACATAACCAAAATTATTTGGTTCCAGTATTTTAGTATTTTAATGGAACTGGTTTGAATAAGAAGCGATTTATTTGATCTTAACTCAGCACCAAAGTAAATGACACTCTCTCTATCTCAAATATTATTTCCTCTAATACCATTTTAAATATTTTCTCTCAGCTGAGGCGCCACCTCACAGAATTAGAGGGAGGAAGCTATTAAAGACACGCAGGGGTTGAAGCTGTTTCCACACCCCTCATAGGCACACATTAGCAAATGATACCCTCAAAACCAAACGGCATAATAAAGCAGATCAGAGTAATGAAATGTTTTACCTCATGTAAGGAGACAAATAGAAAAGACTCTTCCTGTGCCCATGGTGAACCTTTACTCGTGGGGAGCGCAAATCTGCCGCACATTTCATTACGCACAAAATCTCCACTGATATGCATGCGATACCTGTCAATATGAAACAGTCTACTGAAACTAGCAGCCATGCAGTTCATGAATTGGTTGGATAGCGTTAAGACCTTCTTACTTGACTTTAAAAGTTGTGTGTTGTGTTTGTTTGGTTAGTCTGTTCACTTACTCCAGGTGCATGAATGATTCATAATGATTTACGGTTCAGCAGCAATTTAAAGTTTAAGTACGGTGAAAGCATCAGCTAGTGATAGATGGTGTTAGATAAGAATTTATTTGTGTAAAAAAGGAAATTCATTGGTATTGCAGCTAGAGTAAGACAGCAGGTATAAGAAAATGATTCAGCAAGCAATTGATATAAGTTATTTCACCTGTCAGAAAAACAGTGCATATTTATGTATTTATTTATTTAGTTAGTTAGTTAGTTAGTCATACGAGTTTTCTTTTGGACACCACTGAGATTAAAGTATTGGGGGGGGGACACATCTTAAACCAGCCTGAGGTGGTTTTCTGATCTATCTGGTGTACCAGTTGTCTCTTTTGTCTTTTTTGTTTCTCCTAAGAAATTTTAGGAGAAACATTTGAGACAAAGTTGACAGCTTAATGCGACACACATTTAAAGTAATACAATTATTGTCCGGAAATGATAATCCAGGAAGTAAATCCAGTATTATTGCAGCTAGAGCAAGACAACAGGAACTACTGATAAAAAAATAATAAATTAAGAACGGATAAAACCAGACACTAAACAAATGGTATGAATACAAAATAAATGTTTTCACTTGTCAGAAAATACCAGGAAGTTGTTGTCTTAATTCTTTTATGCATTGTCATTTTTCAAACATGTCCTGCCAGACAGGAAGCTCCTTCATGCTAGCACACAGCAGTGCAGCTGAACTGATAAAATCATAAAAGCTCATTTTTCATCTCTGTCCAAAAATTATTCAGGTTAGACATGGCCCGCTCAACAAAAACGGATGTTTCATTCTGCAAACTGCAGATTATTACATGAAAAATGGTCCGGTTTTGCAAATCGCTTCTGAAAAAAAATAAAAATAATAATAATAATAAAAAACCTAAGGTGGCCGGCTGGTTTTAGAGATGGTGACAGCTGATCAACTAAACAAGCTTAAACCAGCAAACCATCTTAGGCTGGTTTCTTTCGGCAGGCTCATTTCTGTTTACCATCAACTAACTGCAAAAAATGTTAATTTGGTGAATGCTGTGCTTTATCAGTTTGCTCAGTTTCCCTAATTTTAAACATATCTTTAATTATTTAATGCTATCGTTTAAAACATTATTGCTTTGGCGCACACTGATAGTGAAAAGGGTAGCAGGCTGAATATTGAATACTAGCCTCTGGCGCTGAGCCGCACTGTGACTTTCTTCTTTACGAGAAGAAGGTGGGAATGTTAAGTGCAGGTAATCATTCTCATTGGGAAATGCTTTAACTTCGGCCCAGGCTGATGTGTTTCAGAGCTTGTGAAAGAAATAGCAGGACAGGGAAAAGCAGGTCATCATAATTAATATCACTGTGAAGCAAACCCATAGAGAATAACCCACAGACGGCCACAGTTTAGCAGTTTTGCCTTCCCTACTTTTACACAGCGATAAGCAGATGTTTAGCTTCAGCGTTATGCTGGAAAATCTGTCAGCTGGTTGTTTGTCATGACATCAGCATTTCCTTAATAGCTTGCACACTGGAACGTGATAAAGGAACATCCAAAACAGCAAGACCACAAACCAAAGACCCTCTCTCACAAAAGCCGATTCTGAATGTTGTGGTAAAAATATTTATATATATATAAAAAAAAAAATAAAAATTGCAACTGTATTTTAGCCAATCCAGAATTGAATGAAGGTGAAGGTAAAAGTGTGCGTGTGTGTGTGTGTGTGTGTGTGTGTGTGTGTGTGTGTGTGTGTGTGTATGTGTGTGTGAAAGACATTCAGGGGTTTGCAGTTTTCTAACTTTTCATTGCACTGTTCACTGGCTCCCATCCTGAAGGAACTCTCTGTTTTATCCATCATCTCTGTTTGTTTGGTTTGACTCTTTGTGTATATGAGATGAGCTGCATGTGGTTTTAAAATGGATCAAAAGTGTAAAAAAATAATAATAACACACACACACACACACACACATTGCTAAATATTTTATTTATATAGTATGTTCATTCATTCATTCATTTTTTATTAAATGAATGCACTATACCTTTTCAAAATGTGGAGTCTTTAAGATTGTTTAATGTTTTCGAAAGAAGTCTCTTATACTCAACAAGGCTGCATTTGTTTGATCAAAATACAGTAATATTTTCTATAAAATAATATACAATGTTGTTTTCTGTTTGAATATTTTGTCTGTGTAATGTATTTGTGATGTAAAACTGGATTTTCAGCATCATCACTCCAGTCACGTGATCCTTCAGAAATCATTCTAATATGCTGATTTGTTGCTCAAGAAATATTTCAAATTAATATTTTTTTGAAATATAAATGTTTTGTAGCAATGTAAAATGTATTTACTTTCACAACGTTGTTTTTTAAGTATATACAAATCATATGTAATATATTAAAAATCACTGTGTGTGTGTAAATAATTCATACAGACTTTTTTTTTTTAATATATGTACTTAGAAACTACATGGAATATATGTACTTAAAAAATGCATGTCACAGGACCACTGACAAGCAACAATCTTATACACTTTCCTTTTCTTTTCTTAAATAAATGTAAATTTTAAACTAAAATTATGTATTCTTATGTAATGAGTTGATGCATTTAATTTCTGTTCAGGTTCAGAACTGATGCCTAAAGCTCTCTCTACTCGAATCATCGGAGGAATCTGGTGGTTCTTCACCCTCATCATCATCTCCTCCTACACAGCGAATCTGGCCGCTTTCCTCACTGTAGAAAGGATGGAGTCGCCCGTGGACTCAGCTGATGACCTAGCCAAACAGACCAAAATAGAGTACGGCGTAGTCAAAGATGGAGCAACCATGTCCTTCTTTAAGGTACGAGCCTCTGAAATGAGCATGATTTTTTGGAAGTGTATAACTTTGACAAATCACAATGGCAGTTCACTAAGGTTATGTTCACTGTTTGTGATATATTTGAAATGTTATTTATTTCTTGAAGCTTGACACATGGCACTAGTGTTGAGAACGACTGCAGAATGTTAACAGAAGATTTTTGAAAGACAGCTTCAGCTAACTTTTCAAAAAAGGAGCAACTTTTCTATTCTTGAGATGTGCAGAGAGAAAAAAAAATCAATACAATTCCACAAACGAATTTCTTAAGCTTTTCCAGTTAGATCTTAATTCCCACTGTAAAAGCAAATTCACCTGTGCTCTCACTTCTCTTCCATGTTTGAAGTGTTCCTTCATAATAATTTTTTTTTATTCCAAAGTTTCAACTTGAAAAGCCTGCAGGGTTTTACTTTTTCACGGCTTTGACTTTTCGCTCTTAGATGCTGTAGCGCCGAGCAGAGAAAAAAGTATACCAGGTTTCCGAATGACAGAAAATCGAAGTGTCTTTAAACCAGTAATTGCATATTCATACATTCTTTCAAAATATAGGCTGCTTTTGCTGATGTTGTAATATTTTCATATACATTTTCCATAAATAACCATGTTCCAAAATATACATTAGCATAGTTGTTTTGCTTCAGATCACAATTCTTAAATCTCTATCAGTTATTTTTGTTGTTTACGAAAAAGAAACAGTGTATGTATATGGTGACCGTGATTTCACCAAGTACAACATGTTCCTGGATCAACATCCTTGTTGATCCTGGAACAACATTCCTATCAACCAATCAGAATTGAGGGACAACTTTTCAGGAAATATCTGTTTTAGGCTTACAATCAGGATTAGGTGCTTCTACACCCTTGTTAATCAGCTATCATTTCACACTGTTTTTAGGAATAAATTATGGGTAGGGTTAGGTTTAGGGGTAGGGATTGGGTTAAGTCTATATTTTTGGACAGTTATGTTGATCCAGGATCAACAAAAGATGTTGATCCAGGAACACGTCTTACTTGGCAAAATCACGGCGACCGTATGTATATAATGAATATGATTGCATATGGCTTTGACATTTAATGTGCATATTACTTTGATCATGCATCCTTTTTCACTCCTGAAGTATATGATAGCAGCATTAGAAATGAAGATTACAAAATCAGATGTTTGCAATTAAAATATCAAGCTGTCACTGTCTAAACACCTTCAGTTCTGCTTGTTTTCTGAAAATTCAGATGTGGTATTACAGCGAGCAGACCTGGAACCTCAAATGTTAATTTAACATTTTATCAAGAGTAATCAAAGACCACTCACACTTGTTCATTTTCTTGGGTCATTTTAAATGTTTCATGGAACTGAGCCAACAATTATCCATGATTAGCTATGGTTTCTAACGTGACCTCCTTTAAAAAACCATGAAATGCCATTTAAACTGAGTGCTAATCATGATGTTAAAGTTTCATTATCCTGAGACCGAGATACACACACACACACACACACACACACACACACACACACAAAATTGGTTCCACATCTTAATCAAAATATATTTCTTTATAAGGAGACTCAATGTTCAGAATAGCATACTACAGTTCCCCTTCAGGAACTCGAGCTGCGTCGAAACGCTACGGGAACGCCTCCAGCGTGACCACGCTCTGAATCACATGTGTAATCAGTCCAATGGATGGGCGAGACGTCACGGGCGGGGTGACGTAGCGACAAGGAAGCATAAAAGCACATCCGGTGAAATCGGCGTCAGCTTTTCTGTCATTCAGCAAGCGCTCTGTGTGTCAGTCTTATTTGGTGTTGTCTGTCCATTATCACTCTTATTTTACCAATACGAGTGTAGACAAACATACGGCGAGAACAGGCATCATCTCAGGCTGTGTGTTCTTCCCTGCCCACGCTACATTTCGGGTGGGGATACACAGTTTGTGTGTTGTCTGCTTGGGAGCAAAACACGCAGAGTCAGCTCTCGAGGGAGTCCCTATCTTCTTCCTCACCTACCAGATCCAGCGCCCGCTCTCGGGGTTCGGAAGCCCGCGCAGAGGGCTCGAAGCTCCGCTTGTCTTCCTCCGAGGAGGTTAATGAGGGCGTCGATGAGCTCGCCAGTTGCACAAGCATCAGTTACACAAGCATTTTATGCCGAATATTATAATGAGCAGCTTTACTGTGGACACAAGAATTATGTCTATACTATTATGAGCAGCATTTACTGGGGAGCAGAGCTTGCGCAGTCAGCTCTTGGAAATAAGGGGCTGATTGTGCTTCTTCCCGCTGAATGCTCCGCTCCCGCCAAGCACGCTCCGAGGAGTGTGTCCATGCTTGCGAGCTCGCAGTTCGGTCCCGCTATTGCTGAGGCACAGTGGTGATTCAGATCGCGGGGATCGCACGTGGATCTAGCAGATGGGTTGGAGACGGCTCGCCCTTTCTCCGCCTGCACTCCCTAGATCCAGCGCTCTCTCTCAAGGCTCGGAAGCCCGCGCTGCGGTTTCTTCCCCCTCTGAGTGAGAGTTCGCTGCTGCGGCTATTTTCTCTGAGGAGATTGATATTGTTTGAGTGACCAAGTGGCTCGCGCGCTGCCAAGGCAACGCGCGTGTTACATCATTTTCAGTTTTTGATGTGAATCTTACCACACCAGACCGTGTTTACTCGTTACTTGATTCCGAGGAATAAAATTAAGTATTTGTCTGACTATGAGAAGTTAGATATACAGGGCCTCTTGGGATAAAAATTTCTTGAGTAAGAGCACGTGTTTAACTCTCTTCCTCTGAGGAGGTTGAGGCGGTCAAGTCTCCGGCGAGTGCGTCTCTCAGTTACCGCCCGGAAACGTAGCGGTTCTAAGAGTCTCGCGAGTTCTCCTCCGCCTCAGTTTAAACGGGGTCATCCCCACTATGATGGGTCCCGAGCAGGCTCTGGTCATGGAATAGAAGTAGTTACTCTTTTGAGGAAGGAGGCCATCGAGGTGGTCCCTCCTCACGTAGCAGAGTCCGGTCCTGAGGTTTGCTTTTGGGGGCAAAAGCTTACCAATACCGAGTTCTTCCTTTGGCCTTGCACTCTCACCCCTCACTTTCTTGACTCAACCACATCGACGATTGGTTGATTTTAGCTCAATCAGAGTAGATGTCATTCTCGCTCACACAAAAGAGCTGGGGTTAAAACTTAACGCCAAGAAAAGTGTGCTTTCTCCAGTACAGAGAACCACTTATCTGGGCATGGTGTGGGATTCGACCATGATGTAGGCACATATGTCTCCTGCTCGGATCGAGTCGATCCTCGTCGCGAGAGTGAGAGAAGGCCGGTCACTCACTGTCAAGCAGTTCCAGACTGCTGGGTCTGATGGCAGCTGCGTCCAACGTGGTTACTTTTGGCCTGCTGTACATGAGACCCCTACAGTGGTAGCTTAAGACCAAGGGGTTCTCCCCGAGGGGAAACCCGCTTCGCATGCTCAAGGTCACGCGGCGGTGCGCGACGGATGCATCTTTCACCGGTGGAGCGGCCGCCATCTCACGTGGAGCCTAAGTTGACTGGAGATGCTGGCCGTGTTTCTAGCTTTGAAACACTTTCTCCCAGGCCTAAGAGATCGCTATGTGTTGGTGCGCACCGACAACACAGCAGTGGTCTTTTTATATACTGTATGTGGGGGCAGGCATACAGTATATAAAATGTGTCGAGGCAGGGGCCAAGGCCCGGAGAATAGATGCCTCACCCCGAGGGGTGAAGCAGACTTGGAGAGTCTTTGGCCAGACTCAGGTGGACTTGTTTGCGACTCAGATGATATTGCACGGTCCCCTCTTGTTCTCTCTCTGACTCATCCAGCTCCACTGGGGCTGGATGCCATGGTACAGACGTGGCCGAGGCTTCGTCTGTACACCTTTCCCCCGATTGTTCTGCTCCCGGGAGTTCTGGAGAGAGTGCACTGGAACGAGGTCAGTCGACTGCAAAGAAAAAACAGTGGCCCCGTTCTGGCCAGGCCGAGTATGTTTCTCGGACCTGATTTCTCTCCTCGACGGCGCTCCATGGGAGATTCCTGTCAGGAGAGATCTCCTCTCACAGGCGGAGGACGCGCCCCTGCCCGGAGCGGTGGAAGCTGTGGGTGTGGCCTCTGAGGAGGCAGAACTCATAGCTTCCGGTCTCTCAACCAAGGTTGTTGAGACCATCCTCCATCCAGAGCTCCCTCTATGAGGAAACTGTACTTCTTGGTGCGGAGACCGCCAGCTCGACCCAGCTAACTGCCCATTTGGTACAGTTCTGGAGTTCCTGCAGGCCTGTTTATCCGCAGGTTTGACCCACTACACCCTAGAGGTCTTCGTGGCGGCCATTGCGGCCTACCACGCGCCTCTCGGTGGCCATTCAGTGGGAAGACACCCTCTTCTTACACGTTTCCTCTGCGGTGCGCTGAGGCCGAGGCCTCCGGCCAGAGAAGCTTATGCTAAGTGGTGGATCAGGATGCTATTCCATAGCCTTGAGCCCTCTGATCTCCCCTCTCCTTCGGGGGTCAAGGCTCACTCCTCCAGAAGTTGGCCTTCGGGACAGCGGGCCCCGCCTACTTTAGCCATTCCTGGCTTCCTTTTCTCTCGCCTTAGTTATGCTCTTCCACACTAGGCAGGGATTTGCAAGTCTGGCGTGGGCATTCTCGTTCCCGTAGCATTTTGATGCAGCATCTCGTTCCCTTCGGGGAGCCATGGTTACATGCGTAACCTGGAGACGTTTCTGCAGATATAGTGTATCGTTCATAGTATGTGATTTTTTTTTTGTAGGACAGAATACCGGAATGACCTGAACGCCTTTTCACACAAATTATGATTACAGGGGCAAATTATTGATAAAGAAAGACCATAGAACTTAATTTGTAAACGTATACAATTTGACGTTTGCATTACATAACCAGCTCCATATGTATGGATTTTCTGATGTAGGAAACTTGCTCGGTAGCCCACCCGGTACTGTGTTGCATTTGCGATGTAGCGCTCGGGTACGAGTCTGTTAAACACGAGTCATGATAAAAGAGCTCAACAACTCATAGCAGCAAGCTGAAATGGCATGGTTGCTTCAGCAAAAATGCTTTTAATTATTAATGATATTTAATTTACCAAATGCCATGATACGTACAACAACCCACCTATACTGCTTCACATAATAAATTCAAAAATATAATTGGCAGTATATACTGCAAAGTAATCAGTAGATATTATGTTAATTTTAAGTCAGCCACGTTACTTACAGTAAAACAAGCACAGCTGTGGTGAGGGCAGCATTATAGTGTCCATAATCCAGCATACACTGTGACTGTTTAATCTAGGAAGTGTCAGCTGTATCACTCCAGTTGCTTATTCATTCTTGTGCAGTCCAACATTGAAGCCAATTCCCAGCCACTTTCAATTATATTGAGAGACACCAGGGAAAATAGCATTTGAAGGGGGAGGAACAATAGCAGGTGCTCAAGGTTAAGACAACAGTGGCAACACCAGCACACTGTAGTGTGAAGCTGGAGAGTGTCACTGTAATGGAGCCAAGACTTGGAAGGAGGAAAATGCCTTATTTTGAGGTGTTTGAGGATGTTGTGCATGTACAGTATGTTGGAACTAGTACACGTTCTACTGTATGTTATGCTTGTAACAGTATGATTTTCTGTTGGAAGATGGCAAAACATGGTCAAAACACTACTGTGAAAAGATGCATGTTATGCAGGGAGGCTGACATTTCTGTTAAAAGCATTTGAGGATAAACATGTATCCATAGATTCATATGAAATGGCATAAAAGTATGCAATTGTATACATGGATAAAAATTAGCATGCAGCTCTTGTTTTGCAAGTGTTGCTTATTTTGCACAAAATAAGGACAAAGAAAATTATTTCTGCTTGATCAGCCAACATTTAACAGACACATTTATCCAAAGCAACGCATAGTACATGTATTAAAGTTTTAATCCAGTTAGTCCAGTTCAGTTTCAGTTAAGTGTCTTAATCAAGGGCATGAAGTTGGTAGCTCACAAATCTCACCTTGTGCAAAATCAACATGAATCTTTGACAACTATGCCACACCACCCTACTGATCAACATAAGATCACTGGAAGCATGTCCCTTTTCCTACACTTCTGCAAAACTCCAAAAACATAAAGATTCGCATACCATTTACTACAGTTTCCAACTGAAATAAGCACTAGTGGCAAGTCCTTTTCACACAAATAATATAATATAATATAATATAATATAATATAATATAATATAATATAATATACTCTATGTGTATGGCTTTTCCAGTTTAGTAAACTTGCTCGGCAACTCACCTAGTACAGCATTGTACTTGTGATGCATGAAACTCATGTTTTTAATTGATAAAAGAGCTCAAATACTTTTTGAAACAAGATATAATGGCACAATTTCTTGAGCAAATGTGTTGTTATCTGATGTTTGTTTTTTGTTGAAAATATTGGTTAGGTTTAGGGTAGGGTTTAGTAAGGGTTTAGAAGCAATGCTATATAATTTTGCTGATTTTTTATTAATTTTTTCCCCAATGAGTCTGGGTTGCTATTGATCCCCCTTTAGTTTTAACGTTTAATTCTCCATTGTATATATATATATATATATATATATATATACAGTGGGTACGGAAAGTATTCAGACCCCCTTAAATTTTTCACTCTTTGTTATATTGCAGCCATTTGCTAAATATATATATATATATATATATATATATATATATATATATATACTGTATATTGTACTGACCACCAACAAACAGAGTGATTTCCAAATAATACGAACAGTTGCTGCTTTAGATTAAAAACTAAACAAAAAATATGTTTCTCTTCTTCAGAAATCAAGAGTGTCTACATTTGAGAAGATGTGGGCTTTCATGAGTAGCAGGCAGAGCACGTCATTCGTCAAGTCCATTGAAGATGGGATTCAGAGAGTGTTAAAGTCAGACTATGCCCTTCTAATGGAGTCAACGACCATTGAGTATGTGACACGCAAAAACTGCAATCTCACGCAAGTTGGCGGCATTGTCGACAGCAAAGGTTATGGCATCGGCACCCCGAAAGGTAAAACCACCATTATAACACAGTTCTGACTCTGACTGGATGATACACACTATAAGCAGTTGTAAAATGGTGATATGCACACCTTTGACTGCACTTTCTACTTTCTACCTTACACAATTAGGAAATATTGCATGCATGTATGTGTGTCTTTACAGGTTTGTATGGTTTATGAGAACACAAACGTGTATAATAACATAAGTATTACAATGTGAACAGGGTTTATGAGGGATAGAAAATACAGTTTATACAGGATAAAAACCATTATGCTTATGGAGAGTTCCCGTAATCCACATATACAAACGTGTGTGTGTGTGTGTGTGTGTGTGTGTGTTGACCCTAATTTCTCTTAAATATTCAGTCAGGTATCAAATCCGAAACTAGCAATATAGCAAAATCACTCATCATTTGGGAAACTGCATATAGTTATGCTTATTACTTGGAGGGCATTTTTATTTATAATTGTATTGTTTGTTGTAAATAAGTGGAATGTTTCCATGCTTTACACATCATGTAAGTGAAGCTTTGGTCACAGCAGACTTTGTGCTCTATTCACATCCATTCATATGCATGTGAATCAAATTTCAAGTTTAATGAATCTGACCTGTGAATATGTATAGCGAATAGAGATGTAACGATTAACCGCGAGCCGGTTGAAAATCGTTTTGAATATGTGACGATTCAAATCGGTTGAGATGCTAAACAAATCGCGATTCAATTAGGGGTAGGGGTTTATATGAATGTACTGTATGTCTGAGGGGAACTTACTGTCTTTCGATGATATTTTTTTCTTTCCTCTTGCCTCTGTATAATATATATTAAAGTTCATAAGTGCAGCGCTGCTTTGTTTACAGCGTAAACCAAGGAAACGCTTTAAGAGCCACCTGCTGGCAAAGAGTGATTCTGCGTCTCATTCAGCTCGTCTGCTGTTTCTGTTTCATGCGGATATTTTTTATGTATAGTTTCACAAAACTGAAGTCAAACCATTCTGTTTTTGCTTCAAATTTAGAAATTATACAATGTCATTTAGATTTAAAAACTGCTCATGTTGCATATATTTAGCATCTTTGTTTGGATCATGATTAAAATGCAGTGGTTGCCTCTAATTTTAAATGTTAAGAGCACAGACAAAGCCTTAGTTTGTTTATATGAAGATATTTATTTTATCTGTGTTACTTATTTATTTGATTTGGGGCTTGCTTTCAAATTTCATTTTAGTTTTGTTATGTACATTTACATTATATTTACATTTTGTTATTTAGCAAACACTTTTATCCAAAGCGACTAACAAATGAGGACAATAGAAGCAATCAAAACCAACAAAAGACCGATAATTTACAAGTGCTATATTAGTATATTATTATAGTGTTATATTTCAATTTCACAAAGAAACGTACAGTATTTTCTCCAAGCAATAATAAAAGAACACATTTAATTTATAATTTATCTTTAATCTCATTTTGGTAAAAAAAAATTGTGAATCGAATTGTGAAATCAAAATTGTGAATCGAATCGTGAGTTGAGTGAATCTTTACATCCCTAATAGCGAAGAGACATTTGACCAATAGCAGATGTAAATATCACAAACTGACCTCTTAGCTGGATTCATAAAACTTGAAGGCTGCATAGTTTGCAGTGTTGAGGGCTCTGAAGTCATTTTACATGCTTAAAGCTTTGGCTGTCTGCAAATTTACACAGTACTTATATAAAAAAACAAAACAAAAAAAAAACACTGAGCGTGAAATTTGTTTGTGTGTTTATAATGTATATAAATATATAATTTCAAGTGTGTAGTCGGTGTCAGAATGTTAAATATATTTAGATGTTTGTTTGTTTTTTCTTCTTTTTTTTCTCATGTTGTTTATGGAATTTCAGAGCCCATTATGCAAGTGCAATGCTTGTATCTTTTAAAAAAATATATATATATATTATTTTTAATATGATATATTATTTAAAAATGTGTTGTTGTTATTATTGTTGTTGTTTTTTCCTTGCAGATCTGTCAGGTTTATTAGTTAGTTAGATTGATAATTAGATGTCTGTCTTTAATAAAACTAAGAAGAAAAAAATGTCCTTAGTCTTCTTTGTATTCGCGTTTCCAATAAAGATTCTCATCTATTAATTAATTTCTTTCAGGCTCGCCGTACAGGGATAAAATCACAATCGCCATCCTCAGTATCCTGGAAGATGGCCGTCTTCATATGCTCAAAGAGAAGTGGTGGAGCAGCAGCAGCTGTCTGGAAGACGAGCGGTACAAAACGGGTC